GTTTTCGAAACAAGAAATTTTGTCCTTATATGAGCAGCTTTTCGGTTGAATGAGGTCTCATTCGAAAGAGGAAGGTCCAATGCAGTGCGCTCTGGTCAAAATCGAACGAGATTCTGTTCACATTTATTAATATAAACGTCGAAAGTCGAGGAAAAAATGAACGAAATACAGCCGCAGAATCGAAGTATGGGTTAGTTAGGTTGTCAGCATCTGGCTTTCTCGGGGCGGGGGGCGACGGGCCTATGTATCGAAGCTAACGCTTCACTTTGGTATGGTTTCACCTTCAAGCCCTCTTGATTAGGCGCCATCTCGTAGCGACTGCCTGAACTAAATTTGTCACGTGACTTGCTCTGCTATTACCCATGTAATGGCGGAACTCGCTTGTGGGAATGCAATTCCGAAATAAGAGATTTTGTCCTTATATGAGCAGCTTTTGGGTCGGATGACGTCTCATTCGAAAGAGGAATGTCCAATGCAGCGCGCTCTGGTCAGTATTGGAATCGTACAACTCTTTTAGTAACCTAAAAAGACCTCGATTCTGTGGCTGTATTTCATTCATTTTTTTCTCGACTTTCGACGTTGATATTAATAAATGTGAACACAATCTCGTTCGATTCTGACCAGAGCGCACTGCATTGGACCTTCCTCTTTCGAATGAGACCACATTCGACCCAAAAGCTGCTCATATAAGGGCAAAATCTCTTATTTCGAAACCCCCTATTTCGGGCCAAATTGTGTCGGTTTACAGCGCGCTGAATTACCCGTGCCTACCCCCTTACGGGGGTAGGCTGGGTAGGCACGGCACGTGACCACAGACGAGATATATGAATAGACCTTTCACCTTATGGGGGTAGGCACGGCACGTGACCTCGCCGATTCGGCAGGTCGGTATTACAGCAGATATTCTCTGCACAGAAATGGTAATACCATCAGATACGCTGCCGCCTAAAGAAATCAGAGGGAGCTGCTTGCTATTGCCATATACCATTCCGAACAGTGTGACCAATCGACAATAGTAACGGCGAACTTCCTTAGCGTCTAACAGAGTGGTGGGGATAGAAGGTATATACTACAAACCCAGCCCTCGATTCTACGGCTGTATTTCGTTCATTTTTTCCTCGACGTTCGACGTTTATATTAATAAATGTGAACACAATCTCGTTCGATTCTGACCAGCGCGCACTGCATTGGGCCTTCCTCTTTCGAATGAGACCTCATCCGACCCAAAAGCTGCTCATATAAGGGCAAAATCTCTTATTTCGACATAATTGAGTACATCGAAATCGACAGTAATGACGGCGGAACTTCCTTAGCGTCTAACGTAGTGAAATAAAGAACGCTAGTGTGAGCCTTTCCTTCTTGCTCTTGTAAAAGAGAAACAACTGAAATACGACCTCGCGATAAGCGGCAAACGATTCCAAGCCTCGACTGCCCCAGCATTTTTACTTTCCGACCTACAGTTACTCACAAAATTGAGCGTACACCTATGTAGTTAATAAAAACTAGTGGGAAAATGAACATAAACGGACATATTTAAAAGTAAAAACGTAATATTTATTTTGTTCATATATTTTGAAGGACAATTAGTGGAAAAAGTTTTAAATAAAATTAATTGTTCATTTCTATTTAGCAAAAGCAACAAAACTGTTCTTGTTTTACTGTCACAAAATTGAGCATACAGCAGATCAAATTAAACAAAAATAACTAACGGATTTTATTTTCATATTTTGTTGCAAATCCTTTTGCATCTATAACTGCTCTCAAACGTTTTGGAATAGACTCGACTAACTTTTCTGTAGTCGAACACGAAATACTATTTCATATTTCTACAATTTTGCGTTTAGCAACTGTTTTATTACTAAAACTACAATTATTTAATTTTAATTTTAATTCTCGCCACAAATTCTCAATGGGATTAATATCCGGCGATTGTGGTGGAGTGTGTAATAATTTTAGCACGTTATATAGCAGCCACTCTTTAACAATATACGATGTATGTTTAGGATCATTGTCCTGTTAGAAATAATATATGACTGGCATGTTTAATTTTAGAGTTGACGATTTCAAATTTTTTTTCAAAATATCGAGATATTTTAGTTTGTCCATAGTTGTTTCAATAAAATTGCTATTACCGACTCCACTTGCTACCATACATCCCCACAGCATTATTGAACCTCCGCCGTGTTTTACAGTAGGAACCGTATTCTTTTGATCGAACTCTGAATTCGGTTGTCTCCATACTATTATTTTTCCATCCGAATTAAATAAATTAATTTTAACTTCGTCGGAAAATATTACGTTCTTCCAAAAATTTATATCACAACTTACATATTTTTTTGCAAATTCCAAACGCTTGATTCTATTCACCTTAGAAATACAAGGCTTCTTCCTTGCTACCCTACCGTGATAGCCTTTATCACGTAGCACCCTACGAACAGTTTCTATCGATATCGATTTTCTAATCCTCGATGAAACATCTGTTGTTAATTTTGGTACACTAATTTTTGGATTAATTTTAATTTGTCGTATTATGTATCGTTCGTCGGTTCCAGTCAGAATTTTTTTCCTTCCGCGTCCTGGCTGATTATGCAGTGTAACATTGTATTTGTAATTGTTAATAATCTTTTGTACAGTAGAGTGGGCTCTACCTATTATTTTTCCAATTTGCCTTAGAGATTTACCTTGACAATACAATTTAACAACTAATTTTCGCACAGAAATATCAGTTTCTGATCTTTGTGAAGCCATAGTGCAAATTTTCGCTAATAAACAATGACAAATGAAAATCAAACGTATCATAGCAACGGAACTATGTTACTAGATACAATCGAATGAATTGTAAACCATGAGAAGTTTTACAAAAGTTAGTTTTCTAGTTACTAATAAACTGTACGCTCAATTTTGTGACGATAAAATAAGCATACTTTTGAAGTTTTTGTTAAACATAGATGAACAATCAATATTGTTTAATAATTTCTTCACGCATTATCTACTGAAATGTACAAGTAAAATGTATAATGCGTTTTTACTTTTAAATATGTCTGTTTATGTTCATTTTCCCACAAGTTTTTATTAACTACATAGGTGTACGCTCAATTTTGTGAGTAACTGTATGTAAGGTATAAGGAAATTTATGAAGTATCATAATGTAAAAAAAATGTTGAAATTTTTTTTTAGCGGAAATACACGTTTTAGGACCCCCTGATCATATTGTGACTATTAAAAAAAAAGACTTTTTTTTTTGTTCCTATGCTATTTTACATATAAACGGCTGAATGAATTTCAATGAAACTTTACATTTCAGTTTTATGTTCTCGTTTCAAGGTCTGATTAGATTTTGAGCGTGATCAGCTCCCGGATAATGATGATTATACGACTTTTAGTTTTATAATTATTTCGATACATATACATTATTTGTAACAAATTTTGGCAATTATTTAGAAAAGGGGGAGGTCTCACCGATTTTGATGATTTTTGAATATGTTGTAAAAATCAACATTTTGAACAACTTTTTCCTATACATATAACCACCGCTTGGCCTTATTTTTCGAGATTTTTCTTCAAAAAGATTGCTGCTACTGCAATGAATTTTGTCTATATGTACATGTCCGTGACTCTGTATGCGTCAGTCCACGATCGCCGATTTTTTCTCTTGTTTGTGACAAGAAATAATGCATAATGTGTGAAGCTAAATCTAGTTCTGTATTGCTGTCAAAGGTTCGAATATTCCGAAGTATGGAACTCGCCAAATACATTATGTAGGCTATTTAGCTGAATTCTTCTTCCATCGACAATATGATTTTAATGATCGAATAATGAAATGTTTCCCACTTCTGATAATATCAATAGAGAAAATTGAAATAGAAAATGAATACGTGGCCGACCGCCTTACGGCGGCCGGTATAAGAAAATCTAACCCAGACCTAATCCATTATATTAGTTACTAGGTAGAATAATTAGGTTTATAAGGGTTAGATGTTTTTATGCCGGCTGCCGTTAGGCACACCCATTGTCGGCCGCCTCGATGCATCTATAGAAACAATGAACAATCGGCGATTGAACGCTTACACACACGCTGCCACAGCATGTACTTACGTATAGATACAATTCATGTAGTAGCAGCGATCTTTTTGAAGAGAAATCTCGGAAACTAAGGCCGAGCGGCGGTTATATGTATAGGAAGAAGTTGTTCAAAATGTTGATTTTTACAACATATTCAAAAATCATCGAATTCGGTGAGACCCCACCTTTTCTGAATAATTACCAATGTAATAAAAATTACTCTTGTGGTTTATACCACTTGAATGTAAAAAGCAATACAGTATTTTCTCTATAGAAGTGATGCTCTCGGGGCTCAATGCTCGGCTGTAGCGTGGACGAGAAACGATTCTTGATACTTTGTTGACGCTTACTGGAGGCGGCGAGTGTAGAAAAGAACAGCGAGCATATGACAAAGAGGGACTGAGCGCTCGAGGATCGTCGACTTTGATATCGTTTCTTTCGCTTCGGGTCGGCTGTGGCAAAACACAGGCGATGTTTACGGTAGCCTATACGATATCGGTGTTCTAATTCCAACCTCTACCTCTCTTGGCAGAGGTCGCAGAATGAAATACTGATTCTGTATAGGCTCCCGTAAACATCGCCTGTGTTTCGATACAGCCGATGTGGAGTGACCTGAGCGATGCATGCCTTTGATCGCTTATTGCGTTAGTAAATAGGATCTGAATTGTACATATATTGTATTTGGTGTCATTTTAATAAGAAAAGTGTTACGAATATGTTGATGAAGTTTGAGAAAAGGAATAAAAAATAAAAATAAATTTCGTTGTTGATTTAATATTGTATATGTACTGGTTAAATCGCGTCATGACTTCAGTATGTACATTTTAAAGAAAGGACAAATATAGCATACGTATACATATTTTATTTTTATTTTTATTTTATTTAATACAGCTTTTTATTAGGAAAACACAAACAGAACAGGAAAGTTATGCACTTATCCTAACATAAATGAACGCCTGATACACAAAGTACTTATCGAACGCACATTATAATACATAAGATTATATCAAGGTTATGTTATGTGGGATTTAGAAATAAGGAACGTGGTGATAAAAATATTTTATTTCGCCGGTAATCGATACAACTGAAACTCGTGTTCGCGCTCTATATACACTCTTTTGAAGACTCTTGTTTTCGTCAGCTGTTACGCTGCTTATATACTATTGTCGACCTGCTCGCGGGTTATCGCACCTTCACTCTGTCACACTCACTCACTCGCATTCTCTCTCTCACACTCATCCTTGCGGCCGTTCACTTGTCATATTTTGACGCGCGCTTTGTTATTCGGAGCGTCTCGTAACAATGAGTGTCCCGGACAAAAACGCGTGAGCACCCAAAACCTTTGCCTACTTTTATACGAGTTCATCGATCGCTCTAGCAATTATTTTATTCCTACAGTTATGATACCTTCTCTGGACCACACCTCTTGAAATAACGTGCTGTACGTCTTGCTTTCATCTGTAAAAAGAAATGTAGCATACAGGAACGAAAATAAAAGAAAAGACAAGTTTTATAGTAGACAACGATAAATTTGTTTATTTTAATATTTCGCAGTGACTCGGTTTACGGATCCTTCTTGCACGGGCCTCGTACATTAACTCGAGTCCTGGCCGCGCGCGTCGGAATCGCGTCGCTCTTCGCGACACTCACACACACACACACAGACACACATGCCCCTTCCACTCATACCCTGCCTGACATACAACAGAAAGAAATGTAATAAAAATTAGTCTTGTGGTGTATACCACTTGAATGTAGAAAGCAATACTTACATCTTCTGAAGAATGTATTATGACTGTTTCTCATATATATTTTCTTGCAACGGTACTGGCCCCTTTCAGTTGCAATTACTACTAATAGAACCTGTGACAGAAAGTTAGAACAAATTGTAATAATTTGGTATACAATACAAATTTAAATGTATGTACGTGGGGAAATCCTCATGGACACCCCGAGGCCCCAAGTAGGGGGGCCTCGGGGTAGTGCCGGACTCTTACCGGCTAAAACCCCACGGTGACCGTCCTCCGCCATCACAGAGTCCCCCGCCTTGCCTTGCCTGTCGAGGCTCATCCCGGGGGGAAGGATGACATGTTCCTCCCCCTTTCTCGCTGTTTGCTTGATCGCGAGTTTCTGCTTCAATCTGGCATCGCATCGTTTGCCACTCATGCAGTATAGCCAAGTGCCTTTGACACTCCGAAAAGTATACTGCTTCGTCCATATCTGGCTTCTCTGCACTGGGGCCGTAATCCTGATCGCACGATTGTTTCTCGTTTCGGAAGGAGGATGCTTTCGCTTCTTGTTTATATTTTCTTGCCATTTTCGCTGCATGCTTGCGACGTTCTTCCATCCTTTTTGCGATGGCTGTCGGCTGTTTATTCATTGCCGTGCTCACTTTGCTGAATGCCTCTTTCGTATTAAATTGTACGACAGCAGCGGAGACTCTACCTTGATAGGAACCTCTTCGTCCAAAATTTATCCTTTTGCCTCCGATAAATTTGGCGACGATATTATTAAAACTCTCAACAGCATTATTGTTTAGAGAGTACAGCAAACTTTCGGCTTGGGCGAAAAGTGGTTGCATCGCTTCTTGTATATTTTGAAAAATACCAGCTTGCATCAATTGTGGAACGTAGTTCACAATATTTGAGTCAGAGTATTTCTTGCAGAAGTATGCTAATCTCTGACACTCCTTGTGTTCTCCGAAAACGTGACTCGGTACATTTTTCATGTCTTCTTTTAAATTTTTTATTTGATCTACGAGTCTTAATTTTTCTTTGAACCGGTATTCTGCTGCTTTCTTTACAGCAGTACGCAGGCGGAGAGCATTAGCCTTTACGACAGCTCTTAGCTCTTTGCATCTGCCTTTTGCTCCGATGTCATTAATTTTTCTACTGAAATTCCGTAGCAGGTGATTGGTGCATTCTATTTTTCGTACTTGCACCATATACTCTTTATATGGATCATTGTCCAATATCTTTTTGTACACACTGCTATCGCCATCGGCAACTAGTATGGAGTAAACAAGGCCACGCATTTCTATACTGCATTTAAAACCTTCGATTATAGCAGCACTTTCCATGCCAGTCGAACTCTGATTACGACCCCAGTTTTTAAAGCACCGATGCTCGTGCGCTTCTTCCTTTTTTTTCGCCGCCGTTTGGCAAATCATGCAAAATTTGTTCTTCACGTTTGCGTGTAGCACTTTCTGGGTGTTATAACCCACGATGACTCCTACGCCAGAGAGAGAATTATAATCTCCTCCGCGGTATGACCGTTTCATCCAACTTCCATCTGCGACTACTGCGATCCACGGTATATTACACCCTGGTAATACATCGCCTCTTGCTATGGCTAGTTCCCTTTCCTCTTTCGCAGCATCTTCCATTTCACGTTGTGCGGCCACTTCGAATGCATCGATTATGTCATTCTGACATTTCTTATAAATTCTTCTCGACATGCAGGATACATTTATACCGGACAACAGTTCCTCCAGCTGATTGTATCCGCCGCCTGTCACCATTGTTGCAGACACAGCGGCGTGGTTAATGCCCATTGTGTCTTTACTCTGCCGAAGGCAGGATATGCGCTCTACATGATTGCACATTTGGCACTGGACACTGTACGTTTTCTCTAAACCGTACTGTTGGCATTCAATTATTTGACAATGTTCGATGCCGCAGCCAATCGTGGAATGTTGCTGTAAACGTTTCATTTGCTGGAACATGTACGAGAAATTTGCGAACTCTATCGCCTCTGGAATTGTTTCTTCCGCCTGTTGTGGTTCATCTTCTTCTACCACCCAGTTGCAGTCGTTATCTGCACAATCTTCAATATCTTCATTCGTTTCTTCTTGAATGACCTCTTCCAAATTTCCTACGTCTTCTTGAGGTATTGTGTTGGTAGAAGTACTTGCAAGTACTACTTCATGAGAAGTACCTGCAGTATTATCTTCTTCCGGCGAGGTAACGAGGTCTTGACTTACCGCAAGAGACGTCGCGTTTTTCAATCTTCGGCTATATTTCGAAAATCAATAATTGCAATCCATAACTTGCGGAACATGCATAGAAGCAAGAAAAGCTTACAAAAGGAAAGGGGCCATAGCAACATAAGATACATGCTACTGTCTACATTGGGGGGAAAGTTTGGAAACAGAGGTATCATTTTGATCGGAAGAACATCAAAAATCCTTTGGGACCATCTTTTTCATCGATACAATGAAGAATGAAGAATTTCATTCTTTCAAACATGAAAGAATAACGCGTAGTGAAGCAAAAATGTATTATTCGAATTTCTATATTTCTCATAATTTCAGAATGAAAACAGCATGAATGGATTCTTGGTGGCATCACGATTAAAATGATACCTCAGCTAATGCAGCGTTTGACAACTGACTAGGGAACACCGCGAACTGATACACTCCGATTTTGATGACACTTTGCACAAACATTTATTAGACCTATCTAAGAAGACAGGTGTAATTCGTAATATGTAATATGTAAGTTGTGATATAAATTTTTGGAAGAACTTAATATTTTCCGACGAAGTTAAAATTAATTTATTTAATTCGGATGGAAAAATAATAGTATGGAGACAACCGAATTCAGAGTTCGATCAAAAGAATACGGTTGTTACTGTAAAATACGGCGGAGGTTCAATAATGCTGTGGTGATGTATGGCAGCAAATGGAGTCGGTAATACCGAATTTATTGAAACAATTATGGACAAACTAAAATATCTTGATATTTTGAATAAAAATTTGAAATCGTCAGCTCTAAAATTAAACATGCCAGCCATATGTTATTTCCAACGGGACAATGATCCTAAACATACATCGTATATTGTTAAAGAGTGGCTGCTATACAGGGTGTTCGGCCACCTCTAGCAAAAATTTTAATGAGCGATAGTAGAGGCCAAAATAAGACGAAAATCAAGAATACTAATTTGTTGATGGAAGCTTCGTTAAAAAGTTATTAACAATTAAATTCAAAAATTTCAAATCGTTCTGGAAAAATTATTTTCGGTTGCGGGGGGCAACTACAATCATTTTTGGTGAGTACACATACCTCCGAAATCCTATCTACTTTCGAGAAAAAAAATCGAGTAGGTGCTGAAATTTTTCGGCGAAAAAAAATTTGTCAAATCGTTTAAAAAAAATTATTTTCGGTTGCGGGGATCAATTACAATCATTTTTTATCATTACACTTACCTCCGAAATCGTACGCACTTTCGAGAAAAAAATTCCTTACTGAAAATCCAATTAGGTGCCTAAATTTTCCGACGAAAAAAAAATTTCAAATCGTTCTGAAAAATTATTTTCGGTTGCGGGGGTCAATTACAATCAGTTTTTGTCATTAGACATACCCACGAAATCCTGCCCACTTTCGAGAAAAAAAATAGAGAAGGTGTGAAATTATTCGAGAAAATTAAAAAATTGCAAATCGTTGTGGAAAAATTATTTTCGGTTGCGGGGCTCAATTACAATCATTTTTGGTGAATACACACACCCCCGGAATCCTACGCATTCTCGAGAAAAAAATTCCTTACCGAAAATTTAATTAGGTGCCTAAATTTTCCGACGAAAAAAAAATTTCAAATCGTTGTGGAAAAATTATTTTCGGTTGCGGGGGTCAATTACAATCAGTTTTTGTCATTAGACATACCCACGAAATCCTGCCCACTTTCGAGAAAAAAAATAGAGAAGGTGTGAAATTATTCGAGAAAATTAAAAAATTGCAAATCGTTGTGGAAAAATTATTTTCGGTTGCGGGGCTCAATTACAATCATTTTTGGTGAATACACATACCCCCGGAATCCTACGCATTCTCGAGAAAAAAATTCCTTACCGAAAATTTAATTAGGTGCCTAAATTTTCCGACGAAAAAAAAAAAATTTCAAATCGTTGTGGAAAAATTATTTTCGGTTGCGGGGGTCAATTACAATCAGTTTTTGTCATTAGACATACCCACGAAATCCTGCCCACTTTCGAGAAAAAAAATAGAGAAGGTGTGAAATTATTCGAGAAAATTAAAAAATTGCAAATCGTTGTGGAAAAATTATTTTCGGTTGCGGGGCTCAATTACAATCATTTTTGGTGAATACACACACCCCCGGAATCCTACGCATTCTCGAGAAAAAAATTCCTTACCGAAAATTTAATTAGGTGCCTAAATTTTCCGACGAAAAAAAAAAAATTTCAAATCGTTCTGAAAAAATTATTTTCGGTTGCGGAGGTCAATTACAAACATTTTTGGTGAACAGACATACCCCCGGAATCCTACCCACTTTCTAGAAAAAAATTCGAGAAGGTGTGAAATTTTTTGACGGAAAAAAAAAATTTCAAATCGTTTTGGAAAAATTATTTTTGGTTGCGGGGGGCGATTACAATAATTTTTGGTGAATAGACATATCCCCGAAATGTTGCGCATTTTCGAGAAAAAAATTCAGTACGAGCGGAACTTTAAACGTTAATAACTTTTTAGCGAAGCCTCAGTTGGGCAATTGGTATTCTTGATTTTCGTCTTATTTTGGCCTCTACTATCGCTCATTAAAATTTTTACTATTAGTAGCCGAACACCCTGTATAACCGCCGCTCGGCCTTAGTTTCCGATATTTCTTGAAAAAGGTCGCTGCTACTCCAATGAATTCTATCTATACGTACGTGCCGGTGGCAGCGTGTGTGTAAGCGTTCAATCGCCGATCGTCTCTTGTTTCTGTAGAGATATCGAGGCGGCCGGAAATGGATCCGTAGAAACAATAAACGATCGGCGATTCAACGCTTACACACACGCTGCCACAGGCATGTTCGTATAGATAGAATTCATTGTAGTAGCAGCGATCTTTTTCAAGAAATATCTCGGAAACTAAGTCCGAGCGGCGGTTATAATGTATAGGGAAATGTTGTTTAACACGTTGAGCGCCACGCGTATTTCTAAGACAATCCCGTTCAGGCCACGCAATTTCGGAAAAAATTAGCAGTCGATCTTACAAGTTGTGACAAAGAAAACATTCCACCGAGCAGAATTGCAAGAAGATCCAAAAAAGAACACATATTCCAAAGAAAATCGGGAAAAGTCGCTGAAGTTCGAAAGTACTGTAAATTATGTTATGACAAAAATGTAATGTTTTGTAATACTTGTGAAGGAGAACCATTTTTATGTTTGCCATGTTACAATGAATCCCATTAACCCTTTGCGGTCGGCAGATTTTTCGGCTGGGACTACCAGCAAGTCGGGGCGAATTTAGCTTTTCGGAGTCATTGTTCCCTAAGCAATTTAAGGTGGATATATCTACATTTAAAAGCACACACTATGTTGATGCTGATTTGTAATATTTAATAGGGCTTAAACTACATAAAAACGGAAAGATTTAGCTATTGTAATTTGACAACGTGTGATATATTTCAAAACAATCGCCGATATGAAGCCCTGGCTTCCGAATACATGTATCACAATATGTTCGTGTTTCTCGCCTTTTGCCGGGGGTTTTCCTGTCGGAACATACTGCACAATCTTTTTTAGTAAAAATATATTAATATCGCCAATGAATCTACCTGGAAATCCTGAACAATTGGAATGTTTATTTCTTACTAAACTTTGAAATTCAATTTATAATTTATTATATTTTTATTTATTTATAAATTGATTTCTATTTACTTATCATATATTTCTCGATGGTAAAATAACGCGTGAGACGTCCGAAATGGCTAGCATTCTGTTAATCTCAGTTTTTCTGGATTCTTGATCATGCCGCCACAGCGGCGGCACCGACTTCTACGATAGTTTTTAAATGCCGCCACAGTGGCGGCACCGACCGCAAAGGGTTAATCCTGTAATGATACCAAATTAAGTAAATTTTAAATTTCTGTAATTCCGTAAAATAGTGTAAATTTTATAGTTCTCATGTTACACGCTGTCAGCCACCGATGGCTGACGTGGCCTAAACGGAAAGTCTAGTGTCAGCCATCGATGGCTGACGTGGCCTAAACGGAAAGTCTAGTGTCAGCCACCGATGGCTGACGTGGCGCTCAACGTGTTAAAATGTTGATTTCTATAAGATATTCAAAAATCACCGAAATCGGTGTTACCCTCCGTAATCCAAATAATTACCGAAACGATATAACTTCTTTTTCAACTATTTTTCGATTTCTTTTGTTGTTTACGACTTATAAGCACGTACATAGAAAGGGCGGTTGGAATAAAAGGGTTGATATCTCCTTCAAAGTGCAAAACGGGCGCGAACGAATTACACCCGTCCTCTTAGAGAGGTCTAATAAATATTTATGTAAAGTGTCATCAAAATCGAAAAATTGAAACTTTATCCTACCATTTATTATTTATTTATGTATCTAATAAAGCGTAACTTACTTTTCTCGACGCTTTTTACTCTTTGAGTAGCGATGTGCCGATAACACAAGCCGTTTTTTCTTATTGAAAGTTGAACACCGTTTATCGGTTTCATCTCCATCCTCCTTACTCTTCTTCTTGCTATTTGCTTCATCACACATCACACTGCACTAACCACGAACGCGGAATTCAAGAATTGAATAGAAAGAATCCGGTTCACAGAAAAAGAAACCTGGACTGCTCTCCGCGTCTGTACTGCAGTGCGAACGCTCAAAAATAGTTATACGGATCTGTAAGGTATGCCGTTTATTGACGAACTGCCGGCTCGACACGCTGGCCTGTACTATTTATATCTGGGTCTCGTCGAATGTTCTCGAATTGTCTCGACGCGACGGTTACTCAAATACAAAGCCTTCCAACTATGAATGTTTATATCTTCCTTTTGTTTTTAAAACACGAGCAGTAAAATATATACCCCTCATGTTCAACAATATAAAAGCAACTCGACTCTTTGGTTACACAAGGGAGAGCTAGTTGCACACTTTCCTTTTTAAACTGTGACAATTAAATGCTTAATAAGTGAAACAGATGGAAAGCACACTTCTCGTACATCAATGCTTTATGGTTTCAAAGATTCATAAAATCATTGATACTGAAATTACTAAGCAATTATTATTCGTTCATAAGTTGCAATAAACGCAAATATATGATTTTCAAAAAGAAAGATATACAGTCGTGACTCAGTCTGTGTAGTTTTTTAATTATGAACCACAATGTGTTTGCACTATATAAAGATTATGTATACATTTTTAGCTACTAAAATTAAATTACCCAACAAAGTGGTATTTGTACCAGAAACAAAAAGGCAAATCTTGCACTCCCAATTAACATAAAAGACAGGAAAAGATTTCGATCTTTGTAGGAGGAATATTTACAAACATGGAATACAGACCATTAAATTAAAACTGTTTGCAATGGCAATCGAATAAATATAGTAAATCCCATATAAAACATCCCCACTACGTTAGAAAGACGTGTATCATGAAAGTAGTTACTTGCCACCGAATCCGGTACAAAAGACGCTTTTCTTTTATCTATGCTAAAAAGGGCACCCGATTATGATTTAAACAGTAAATTATGAATTTACTATCTATAAACATCTAACATGAAGATAAACATTCTACAAAAAGGAATGGTGTGTGATGTACATTACGATTAAACTTCCATGAAAATCGTCCTGTTTTGTTAATACTTAAATCATTTAAAAATAGCAGAACCTCAACTTGCCTGTGTAAGGATATTAAAGTCTTAATATCAAGACTTTAAAAGAAGGTTTTAGTAGAACATTTTCGTTCCAACTTCATATTATGCGCAAGTAAACCTAAAACTTTTCTTTTTTCGATTTATATGTTAAAAAAAGAAAAAAAAAAAAAAAGACCAACATTCAAAAGCGAAGCACAATGAATGTATCAATATGAAGAATGGTATGCTTAAGGTACCGCTCGTATGTATGCAGCATGCATGTGCAATACTGTAATGAGTGGTGTGTGTGGCACCAGGAATGTAACGTAACATATAAGATATTATATTATACGGTGGTTGTCGTCAAACGGTAATGCACGAGATCAGCTGTTGACAAAGTTGACTGTATTGCAATTGGTCCCCACTAATTCTTCGCATTTTAATGCCTTTTACTTCTTTTTCTTCAGATTCACATACTCTCAGTTCGATTTGAACACCGCCTGGATATTCTAAACTAAGCCCACTACCTTTCACTTCTTCTCTATTAAAGATAAATCCCTTTGGTGGAGCTCTTGCATCTATAATTTGTTTCACACGGCCCAATATAGCTTCGGAATTCAATCTACTCGATTCATCCGATAAAGTGACTTCAACTTCCGTAGGTATTGATGTATTTAGCGGCCTACCGATACCTCCCTCGTGTGATACTGGGTCTTAAAGGGTCACATGGTTCTGAGATAATAAAGCTGGGAAGAGGATTATAATGAGGTAATGTATCTTCAAGTGAATCAGGTGATGGAGATGGCGAGGGTGAACAACTGATAAGTGTTACTTGCCCTCCAAGATCTGTTATAGATATTTGAGGTGGCACCTACAACAAATAATCATTACATTGTAAATACTTTCGCAAAAATACTTAAAATAAACTATAAATTATATTACTTTTTAAATTATTTTCTTTAAAAAATAATACGGATCGCTTAAGTGACAATTGAAAATGATTACTTACTCTTGGTAATTCTACAGGATGTTATTCCTGAATCATGTCCAAAGCAGGACTATTACTAGGTGTTGTTAACTAACTGGTGTTGTTGCTGGTGATCTATGATGTCTTAATGGACTCAAATCTAATGGCGTTGCTGGTGGTTGTGTTGGAGTACCATGTACAATGCTGCCTTGTACTGTTGTTGTGGTTAGTCCACTCAAACCTATTAATAAAACAAATGATTACTGAAATTACTTGAAGCACGATGAAGAATCTTATAATTTAATCTTAACATTTAAAATATTATTAATTGGTTTAAATGAAAACGTATAAAAATTTGTAAATATATGGAGTAAAGAATACCTTGTGTGATTGCTGCTACCCCTCTCTCATGTACAGGAGATCCATGTATACTTGCAGGACTATGCGACGGAGATGCTAACCTTTGCAGTTGTTGATACTCTTGTTGAAGTGCCTGAATTCCAGGTCCAGATGGACCTGAACCCTCTGATGCTCTCCGAACGGGCGAGTACCTTTCAGTGGCAACATGAGTGCTTGGTTCCTTATACGAGTCTCTATTACCAACTGAAAACAGTAAAATAAAATATTTAACTATGTATTTATTAAAATTGTGTAGAACGTACTTGTAAACATCATACAATGTACATACATAAATATATAACGATGTTATTCAGTGGATTTATAGAACGTAGCGCAAATTTGCCCGAATTACATATAAATGCAAAAAGAAATCCACACAAGAATTACCAGTGCTAGTGTGGTACAAAGAAGTCTTCCTGTGGTGTGGAAGCGTTGATCCTCTAAGGTGAGTTCGTAAGAGTCGTGATGGAAGGTAAGCTCTATTCATCCTAGCTTCCACCTCCATAACCATTTCCGGATTTATAACTACATGCATATTACCAACCAACGAGGCATGGCAGTGCAGTGGGCACAAAAAAACCATGCAAAATTAAAAATAAAATCAAATGAAACATTGTATAAATACTAAAGTAAAAAAATTTTAAAAGAACGTGGTAAATAAAATGCACATATGTGTTGTATTTAGAAAATAAAATGATATATAACGTGAAAGATCTATTTACATATAGTATACAATAAATCAAGATAATACAATAATTACAGTGCTTAATAAAGATGTGTAAATATGTGAAACACATGTAAATAAGTAAATATAGTTTGTAGTCTTACTTTATCAAGTAACTTTTACTGGTAGCAAAGACCGATTTATTGTAAAACTTATAAGTAAACATTTTCCATGCAATATATATAGTACTGTTGCGCCGGGACGAGGTGTTTCGCGCACAACTCATATTAACACGGAACAGATTAACGTAGAACTGAGAACGTAAACCAACTAACAAGAACAAGCTTTATTCGTACAGTGCACAATTCTAATACGTCCGCTCTCTATGAGATCTCACGTAGTTCTGATCTTTCGAATCGTTGCCGGTTCCTCTGGCAACCGGAAGGAACGGGCTCTCGCTTCCGCTCGTTCGGAGGAGCAGGTTTCACATCGTTGCGGAACAGTCTTCACGTTGCCGCAACGATGCATCTTCAGTCCGTCGCAACACTGCTCCCCCTCTTCAAAACGCGGACGTCCCGACCGCGGCAGATTCAGCTCGGACAGGCAACTTCAGTGTGTGCCTCCAACCTCCAAATCTGCCTCGAGTTTAAAACACCTCTGTCTGTAAAGTAAATAAACGAATAGATCGAACGTTTACCTGAGTGGCCTTTACCAGACAGTTAGCGCCTTGACATTCGTCCTCCGTCTCAAGGAAAACCACTCAAAAACCTTGAGCAAGACGCCGGTGCAACTTCCAAAATTCCTCTGCGAGAATGAAGAGACCCCGACTGCTCCTCGCCCTTCCCCTTGAATACTTGCGACTTGCGCGCTTCTTTCTTGACGTCTTCTCGGATGTGAGTTCCCCCAACTAAACGGAACAGCCCCCCTAGAGATGTTCCCCAATCATCAAGGAGAATTTCCTCGATGAAATGGTTGTCCGGAACATACTACGACTTTGCAGTCCGGCCACCAGAACCCCATCCGGATGGAGCCCCGGCTGTGGGGTAACCCTCCCGGTGAGGATTACGCTTCCACGACCGTTTGCGACACGCAAAGAAGAGAGGCTGTCCGCCGCCAGCAAGTAACCCCCACCCTAGCCTTCTGCGACGAAACGTCCTCTTCTTGGGCGAAGATGTCGGCCATCCTCCTCGATCCTCATCTCCCTGTATCCTTACAGGAAACCTCCCGTGAATCGTACCGAGCGAGTCGATTCACATGTACGACCCTCGGTTTGGACTTCGGTGAACGAGCTATTCGATAAATCAACTCATTAAGCCGATTTTTCACCTCGTAGGGTCCCTCCCAGTCGTACTGGAGCTTCGGGCATCTTCCCTTCGTTCTTCGAGGATTGTACAACCACACCTTCTCCCCAGGAACAAAGGAAATTGATCTCGAGAACGAATCATACCACGACTTCGTTCTCTCCGAACAAATTCGCATCCGCTGTCGAACGAATTTATGAATTTCTCCTATTCTTTTTCTGGTTCTCTCGATGTAACCATCTTCTTCTCCCCCTTAGAAGAAACAGCTCCCCTTAGAAGATCCAGAGGAAGGCGCAGCTCCCGTCCCGTGAGGACCATCGACGGTGTATTCTGTGTCACTTCATGTTGCGAAGAACGATAAGCCAGCAAGAACGTTGGAATCCATTCGTCCCAGTCCTTTTGGTGTTCTGCAACAAACTGAGACAGATATCGCAACAAGGTTCTTATCATCCGCTCTACGAGCCCGTCCGACTGAGGGTGTAATGGAGTTGTCCTCGTCTTCTTGATTCCAAGTATCTTCATTAGCTCCTTGAAGATGCTTGACTCAAAACTCCGACCCTGATCGGAGTGCAGCTCGAGCGGAACCCCGTGTCGGCTTATCACTTCCTTCAGCAACGCTGTGGAAATTGTTGTCGCTCGCTGGTTAGGAAGTGGAATCACCTCTGGCCACTTCGAAAAATAATCCATCACAACCAGCGCAAATCTGTTCCCAGCGGAAGACCTCGG